GTTTATCTGCCGCATTAAATGGACGATACGACATGTGTATATGTGATCCACTCACATTACAATTACGTCCATGCGTAAATATACCATCATGGGCCATATCCATATTTGTTCCAGCACTATTGACGTTATGCATGGTAGAGTACAATAGCCATTTTGCTGCCAACTTGTAAACTGCTGGTTCGCCATATATAGTTGAATGTCCAGAGTGTCCCCAGAGCGACCCAGCCATTACTTCACTAAGATGAATCAACAAATCATGGTCGTAAATATCCATGTTGCGCAGACGCAAACCAAACACAATCAATCCAGTCAAAAAATCATCCGCATAATGCGGTGCATCAATGTACAGTGCCCGGTACACATTGGGATGCGACACACCTTGTAAAATAGCAGAATACAAAGGCACAACCTCGTCTACCCAAGAACCCACGCAAATCAATCGTACACCTTTGTGTAGTATGGTGCTCAATGCCGCCACGTAGCGTTGGCTCTGGTACGAGCTCGGATCCATGAGTTCAAACAACTCGCGCGCTGCCTCAGACTCTATGTAGCGAATCACCAGATTGTCTTTGAGATACGGTAACGGTCCATGGCTGATCCCCGCCATCGCCAACATACCGACTCGCTGCCTATCTGTGTCCACGATCCCTAGCTCAATTAGCCGCTCCAGTAGCATTGCAGATACAGGCGTTCCCTGCGAGTGCGTGACCACAAACACCGTGTCTGCCTCTGCCAGCACCTGTGCCCGTCGGCTGCGCTCAGGCATCAACGACTCGGCAATCATTACCGACTGCTTCCCTGCAGGGTTTGTGCTATTGCCACTGCTGGAAGATACACTTCCGGATGGCAATGTACCAGCTGCATCTTTTGCCTCCAATACGGATACACCAGGGATAAGCTGTTTGTTCTTATTATTGCTGCTTTTAGCCGTAGAACCGGGCTTTTGCTTCCCATTAGCTTCTGCGGCAGCCCTGCTCTCACTACGTGATTGTGTCCCGCTCTCTATCTGACCAGCGTGCGCCGAGGATTCGCCAGAGTCGATGATCTGCGACAAGAGTATATTAACACGGTCCTCGATTCGTCCCTCACCGACCAGAGGAAACAGCGTGATATCATTGCTATTAACTTCAACGCCATGCTGCTCGAAAAGGTACTCTTTGAGTGCGTCGCGCATCATCAAGCAAAATTTTTCAGACTTACCCGTGGGCTCACCAGCAATCATCTGCAGCATGCGGATTGGGAACCAACCGTGCACACCGATCACCGCGATACGCCCAAGCGACTTGGCACCGAGATCCATTTGCGCTCTAATCTGCTGAGTCGTCATCCGAGCACCGCTGCTGTCATCACTGCTGCCGCGCTGTCCGAGTACATCCGCTCCTGCGCGCTCCCGCACCAAGTTGCGCGCCCATTCTGGCGCCATGTCGACAAAGGCATCGACCATTGACAACCCAACCTTGCGCAATCGCTTGTACAGCGGCTGGCCGTCCTTTAAACGTGGAGATCCGGCTATTGTCGCATCCGTATCGTCTTTATTGGAACCATCCGCATTACCGCCAGAGTGACCCGATGGCGTGATATCAGTGGGTGTGTGCGGTCTATCTTCGTTGGACTCGGAATGGTTGCTTGCACAATCAGCCGAAGCTATAGATGCCACTGTAGAGGTAGTAGCGGTGGTAGGCACAATGGCAGACGGCTTGGGTCCAACATCGAGGTCGGGCAAAAGCATGTTTGTCTGCTGTCGAATATTGTGCCCACAAGCAGCGGCAGCCGTTGTCTCTGCAGTTGGTGCACTGGTGGTAGTGGTTGTCGCGGCTGCGGGTGTGGGTGTAGATTCGGGTTCGGCATCAAGTGACTGATTGCCCTGGTTTGAACAGAGTGTGTTTGCAGCAGCAGCTGCTGATGATGGCGGCTGTGGTGCATTATTGTTTTCAGTGTCAGCTTCAGAGGCATTGACGGCATCTGACGCAGCAGGCCCTCGAGTCTCTTTAGACAAAAGAGAATGCGCGGCGACGGCGTCATTGTCGCCACTATTGCCGCTTCTATTTTCGGTAATGGGGCTACCCGCAGTGTCCTTTGAGGACTCTGGTGTCGAGCGCAGCCAGCCCCAGAGCCAGCCAGGTCGGGCAGGCTCGGCAGGATGCGCGGGTTGGGCAGGTGCAGCGGCCTGTTGTTCCTGGGCTGATGCGCTTTCCACCGCAGCAGTTTCGGGCACAATGGCAGCTGCAGCAGCGTCTCTGTGATTATCTGCGGCGGTATCGACAATGGGCTCCTCAACAACCACAGCAGCATCGCCTTCCTGAATGACCGCAGAGGCCTGCACACTATTGTCGGCAGCCTTTGTGCTAGCAGCTGCATCCGACACAGCATTGTCCTGCTCGGGCTCAGTAGCGGCCAATAAACCATTATCAGCGCTGGTGCTGTCGCTGACAGAAGCAGAAACGGGAACGGGGGTAGAGTTAGCGTCGGCGTCGGCGTCAGGGTTGGAATTAGAGTGTGTGGCACCCTGTTCGGCTGCCGGCTGTCTCGCTTCGATCTCGCGCAGTCGCTGCACGGCTGGCTTTTGTGGGCTTTGGTTGGGGTGAGCTGACTGCTCGCTGCCCGAACTAAGAGGAGTTGAGCGCAAAGTCAGGGAGGCAATTTTAGACCACAAAGAAACATGGGCAGCAGCTGTTGCAGTCGCGGTGGTATTGGTGTCGGGTTGAGGTGCTACGTCATCCGTAGACTTTGTCTCTGAGCACGAGTCCATGGTGCTGCAGTCCTTTGTAGCAACTACCGGCTCTGCTGTGGTCTGCTGGGTCGAGGGCTTTGCCACAAGGGTGCTGCGCTGCAGGGTTCTGCCGAGGCTGATAGAGTTGTCAGATGAATCGTAGGAAGTAGTGGTGTTGCCTCTATTCCTACCGCGCGTATTCGCTCCCAAGCGCTGTTGCTGCTGAGAACCGTCGCTGCTGTCCGACGGCTGTGGTGCGGCCATATGCGATATGATATCAACTGCCGGGGTGATAGACATGCCGACAGCAGCCATTGCATCAAGTCCAGTAGTAGACGGGGCAGAAGAACCGCCCTTATTCACCACAGATGGCGGAGTATCGAGCGTAGCCAATGGCCGCAAAATGCCCAGTGCTTTTTGACGACCCGTGACGGAATTAGCGGAAGAACTGGAAGGGCGCGAACGGAGGGGAGTGGGGAGAGATTGCTTCTGCGAGAGTATCTGGCCACGGGCCTCAACGGGACGAGCACCAGCAGAAAACTTTGTAGCGAGTCGAGGCTCGCTATGCGACGTCAACGAGTCCATAGAAGCAACTTCGCGAGGAAGAAACATGCTTTCTCGAGCACTGGAGCGTATGGATGCAGGCCTTTGTTGAGAAACATGGTTTGCACGAGGAGTAGGTTTGGTTAGGCTGTTTGCGGGAGATAATGGCGGTGGAGAGTATGTGCGGTTTGATGCCATGCTGCTGCGTCGAGGACCGAGCCATACAAGAGGACTAGGTGGGGTATGTGGTGGAGAAACATGCTCTGTCTGGTTATGTGTCGCTGTTGTCGGTATGTTTTGACGAACGCTGCTGTTCTGACTGTTGCTGCTGTTGCGGTCCTGGAATGACCAACTGCGTGGACGACTTTCAAGGTTGAGCTTCTCTGGCAACGAGCCAGGAGTCGGTACAAGGTTGGGAGTGGATATATTGAGGGGTGTATTGGGAGTCATTCTCAGAAAAGGCAGGCGTCGTTTAGAAGCTGACGTAGGCGAATCAGAGGAATGCATTTGTTATATAAAAAAGTAAATTACAAAACAGAAAAAGAAAGAAAGAAGAGGTAAGTAATAAAGTCTAGAGTTTCCAATATGGACATGTACTATTTTTATAAGAAAATATATATAGACAGAGTAAGAGACAGAAAAAAGGAAGAAAAGTATAAAGAAGATGTATAAAGACACTATAGAGAATGAGACATCATTAAAAAAAATAGCAAAAGTAGAGGAAGAAAGAAGATTAACTCGGTCGGAGTGTATGTGCTGGTGTAAGGAAAGACGTATGCGTTGTGTGTGTCAGTTGACCATGGATGACTTTGCATGACGGAGTAGTCTAGAGTTATTAACAAAAAAATAAAAGGCGTCGTGGCAATTTATGCGCCCACTAGTCGGGAGAGAAAGATATACCAGAGCCAATAGACCTTTCATGATAGATCAAACGCTTGCAAGAAACCATCAGCATCTTCTGAAGCATCCACCGACTGCGTCGCCACAGAACCAGGCATGCCCGATACTTGATCAAACCACACATTAGGGCCATAGCAAATACACAATTCCTCTCCAGGCTCTATATCACGCAGCGTCGTATACCGAATAAGCGAATTAACCATGTCACGAGTAAACCCCACGTTCTCACAACCCAAAGGCTCGTGGTTAAACATGCTACCCAATCCCAGCGCCAAGGCATACCCACCATTGCTCCAGCAATAGGTGTAGTGATCCAACTGCGTGTGCCTTCCGTACTCCCGGTACTCTTGCGCACCAAACACTAGCACTGGCGATATGTGAACCAGAGTTCCCCGCGCAATAAAAGACGTGGTGAAAACACCACGGCCGCGTTGAGGATGAGTGCGCAGTTCCAGACACGGCAGCGCCGGCAGAGACAGAGACGTGTCGTCGGAAGCAGACATGCGGTGACCAAGTGGGCGTGTGTGTGACTATGAAAAATTAATAAAGGAGGGAGAAGCACGGCTGTAAGTAAATTGAGGCAGCAAGTCCCATTGACGATACCACGAGGACAGATGGAGGGCGCACACGTAGAGCAACAAGGCAAATGAAAAGGTCCGTGCGCATGTGCATCAGCAAAAAAATACAACAAGGGCGGGTAGGCAGGAGACACCGGTGCGCAGTAAATATACTGCTGGCTTTCAGTAAAAAAAAGGACGGGCTTTCTTTCTGGGAGGGAAAAGCGATCTTTTACGGAAAGGGCAACGGCAGGATCAAAAGGGGCGCTAAGGGGCGGCAAACTAAGATTGCTCCATTAGCTCAGTTGGTTAGAGCGCCGTGCTTATAGCCCATAACGCTATGCGAGAGTCACGCGGATGTCGCCAGTTCGATCCTGGCATGGAGCAATGCCTTTTTTGCAGCACCGGTCGGTGTACCTTTTTTGCTTTGCGGCAGAGCAGCGCGACGGGTGTTTGAGAGCCGTGGCGCGACGGATAAAGCGGCAACGGGGGAGGAGAGAGCAGAGAGCTGGAGGAAGACGAGGGGTTATCAAGAGTTTAGTACAAAATACAAAAGAACGGAAAGGAGGAAAAGAAAAACATCGCCATTCGCCGCAGAGCTAAGCGATCAGGGGGCACGGGGAAGGGCGGCGCATTGGAGGAAAAAAATTTTAATGTAGCGATTTTTTCATCTCGTATCCTCCGTACCTGTGCGCACGGCAGGCGCAAAAAGGCAGGCATAAAAGGACGCAAGAGAAGCAGCAGCCCATTTCCCCCAAAGCGAAAAATTATGTTCGCGTCAGGGCGTCGATCAGAATGTCGTTTTCCATGCGCAACCGGCGCATCTTGGTTTTGACTTTGTCCAAGCGCTCCTTCCGCGCATCAACCTGGCCAGCAATGTAGTCGAGCTGAGCCTGCAAAGCCACGGCCATGCCATCCGAAACCGACTCCGCATCGCTCGTATGCAGATCCACTGAGGGATCCGAGCCACCCCGCACTCGTCGACCCTGCGTGCTCCGCGGCAGCGCAGCCTCCGCCATGGCCTCGGGGTCGCGGTGCGTTTCAATGTGGCGCCGCAGGAAATCCGTGCGCTTGTACACCTTGCCACACCCATCCTCGGGGCAAAGAAACGACCGGCCACCCGTATGCAGGGACAGGTGCCTGATCAGCGCCGAGCGCGTCCCAAGGTCCTGGTTGCACCCCTGCCATGCACAGGAGGCCGTGGCGGTGGACGCGAGATGCGTGGCCGAGAGATGCGCGGCCAATTGGTGGTACGTGGCGAATTCAGCGCGACAGCCGTTCCACGCGCAGATGCCGGCGACGCGCGGCAGCCCGGCCGCGGGCGTGGAGGGGTCGGCGTCGTCGAGGTCCGAGTGCGGCATCAGCAAATGAGCGAGTGTGTGCTAGAGAGTATAAAAGAGCAAAAGCAGAGGAGAGGGCAGCACAAGGTCAAGAAGGGTGTTTAGATTTGGGGCTGAAGGAGAAAAGCGACAAAGCGTCACTTGATTGGCCCAGGGGAGAGGCGTTTGTTCAAGCAGGAGCGAAGCTGGAGGAAAGACGAAGGCGCTTTGCAGAAAGGGGGAACGGCCGGTGATTGGCCAGGAGGAAACGGCAAAGCCACAGGCGCTTTTCTCAGTGGGTGTTGACGGGTCGGAGGGCTGGAGCAATTAAACCAAAAGGAGAAGCCGGGTAAAGCGCAAGGAGCCATGGCAGCAGGCAATTGTTTTGCAGGCACGGGGCGGAAAAGAGCGGCAGGCCTGCTAGGCTCTCTTCGACAATGGGCAGAAAAGTGGCTTTGTATGTGCAAGGCACGTTTAAAAAATGGCTTTGCTATTTGGTATTTGAAGAGCGAAAAGCCGTGGGGTAGAGTGCAAGAAAGGCGGTTGGAGGGATGGGCAGAGCTAAAAAATCATAAGCTCTGCACGATTTTGAGTTTTGCGCTCCGGGCTTAACAATCTGCCAAGGCTGTGCTTAAAAAGCTGTTTTTGCAGCGAGCCTGCAGGCTGCGTAAGGACAAAATGCGCATCGGGTTATGGCAATCTTTTTTTGAAAAGCCGCCCGGTTTTTGATTCAATAAAAAGGCGCAATAGGGTTTTTGGCTATTTAAGAAGCCCTCCTTTCCCCTCGGTTCCTCTCGCTTTGAGCCATGGCCCACCTTTTTTAATTGCCTTCTCTACGCCCTCTCCTTATTCTAAACTCTATATTTTCTCAGGTCCTTTTTTAACGAGAGTCTCTTTATGCTGTCTTCTCTTGCCCTGTAACCCAGGCTCTCTCTTTCCACAGACTCTAAAGAACGACGCGTGCTCTGTGCCCGCAGCCCCGACGCCTCACGAACGCACGCCAATCACCGCACATAACCCCCGCTCCAGACATAGCATATATCGGACATCACATTATATATACTCCAAAGCTTATACCCCACATCATTTACACCCTAAGCCTATATCCCACATATCCCACATACCCCACATATCACATATCACATATCGTCCCCACTTACTTTTGTTTGCGCAGATGGATATCAGGGAAATCACGGATTCGTCGCTGCTCTCTGACAAGCACCGCGCGCACCACTGCGGGTGGCACGACTGCCACAAGAGCTTTACGCGTAAATCTGACCTCAAGCGCCACTTTCGCATCCACACGAACGAAAAGCCATACAGCTGCACCTACGCCAGCTGCGCCAAGCGCTTCGTACAAAAGTCTGCGCTGACAGTGCATCTGCGGACACATTCTGGCGAAAAGCCCCACTGCTGCAAAGAGCCCAACTGCGGCAAGCGGTTCAGCGATTCCTCGTCCCTTGCACGTCACCGCCATACGCACAGCGGCAAGCGTACCTATCTGTGCAGTTTTGGTGGATGCAACAAGCAGTTCTATACAAAGAGCGCCTACAGCGTCCACCATAGGGGACACATGGATGGCTTGAAACCCAAAGAGTCTCCTTCGCCCACGGTCAGCTGTCCTTGCACTCCTGTGCCGGCTCACGAGAGTATCAAGGACAACTTTGATCTGGTTGTTGCCATTCCGCAACTGGGCGTTGCCGAGCGCCCGGGTGTCCACACGCATCTGTTCGACTCGCATATGCGCTATCCTACCTCGACTTGTCGCATGGCCCGGTCGCACACTGCGTCGTCGGAAAGCAGCAGCTCGGCTGCTTCGGATACCTTTGCTCGGTCTCCGTCCCCCATTGCTGCTGCCATTCTGCCGCCACTGCACACGTACCTGGGCGTGCTGTCCAAGGCGGCCTCTGCTCAGCCACCACTGCCCACTACCAACGCCGCTGCTGCACAGCCCCGTGCCATGGCCCATTGGCCACGCTACGCTCCCTACTAAGGGCTTTTTATATTCCACACGGTCCAAGCAACAGAAAAGGACTTTGGACAAACGATAAAAAAAGTACACGGGAGACTGCGCCTTGCATCCTTGTGTAAAGGGGGGAGAGGCTGGCTGGCTCACTCATCTCCCTCCTTGCACGTTCTCTCCTAAGCGTACCCTTTTTTCCTCTTTTTCTTATTTGCACCTTTTTGCTGCAAGGATAGAGTTCACCCTTGGCATTTTAACCCAAGGAGGACCACACCCACATTTGTTAATATTGTCTTACCACTTTTTCATTATCTCACTTTGCCCCCTTCATCGCATGCCTCAACTATGTTGCTTTTTTATTTACTCTCACATCTTTATGCTCAAATAAATCCTTATTAAAACTATCAGCCTCCACGCTCAGACTGCCCTGAGTTCACCTAGACTCGCTTGTCCTCACGTGAGAGGGTCTTTGGCGCCGATCGTCTGTGGGAATCCACCGTCCATCCACTTTATTCTTTTGATGCACACGCACAATATTGCCCCAAGAAGCCCAATGCCAATGCCCGCTCCAGCAGAGAGAACAGACGAGTTCTTGGACGATGCCCCCCGTGCTTGCGCCATTGCAATAAATGCAGCCGTGCAGCCCACCAATATCCCTTTTTTCCCATTGGGTTTGTGCTTTGCTTTTGCAAGTCTGCGCCTATTTGCTTTATTATTCAATATGTCCTTTTTTAGGAACCCCCCTTCCCCTTTTCTTAACCGCAATGTTTTAGAGCAACAAGCCTCTTTGCTAAATAAAAAAACTCTTTACAATAAAAAGTTGCTTTTTATGCACGTTCTTGTACAGAATGCTGTGCGTACACATAAATCTCAGACTTTTGTATATGCGACATGTATCAGACATACACCTTGCTGCAATATGATACCTATTTTCAGCTTTCATGCAATTAAAAAAACCCAACCATGGAAATTAGACATAAGCCTCTATCTCTTGATGTGCGCTCTGCTTTAATCAGCGGATTATCCGATCTAGATTTGTTTATGGATCACGCCGCAATACGCAATGGATTACCTGATTTACGCCTCTTCTTGCACCATTGCTTCGAACCCCTATTGGCCTGTGGAATCCCCCCTTGACTAAAGACTATTGAAATGAAATATAGCGAATATCAGTAGGGATTATGTTTTTATGTGCTTTTGTGCGATCTACTCCCGGTGTTTATTTTTTTATCCCTCTATCTTTTTGTCAGTGCGCAAAAAAAAACCGGTAGTACCAAGTAACACGCAATTGATAGTGAAATTTCCGCTATGAAAAATACAATTCTTGTTAGCCAAAATGTTTGACCATGTAAAAAAAGAACAGTAAAGTGAGGAGGGGATTTCCGTTCATTTTCTTATCTGTTTGGAACAAACAACCACAACGCTTCAACCATTTCCCCGGGATTTTACGGGAAACTATACGAGAGCATGGCTTGCTTGTGTTGCCTGTTCTCTCGTGTGCTTGCTGTGTGTGCATTATTTTATCTATATAAACACAGCAGAATTCCCCCTCTCCTGTGTGTTTCATAAAATCACTACAAGCTTTCTTTCCTCTTTTCAAATAGTTGTATTTTCCATTTAACTCGCTCTTTTTATACTTTTTTCTTTATTTATAAACTAATCCAACAGTATGTCTGCCGATAACTCTGCTGCTCCGCAAGAACCTGCGTCCGCTCCAGGTTCCTCCAGGAACTACCGCTTTGAAACCCTTGCATTGCATGCTGGCCAGACTCCCGACAAGGCAACCAACTCCCGAGCTCTTCCAATCTACCAGACCTCAAGCTTTGTCTTCAACGATGCCACCCACGGCGCCAACCTGTTTGCTCTAAAAGAACTAGGCAACATATACTCGCGTCTAGGCAATCCTACCACCGATGCCTTTGAGCAGCGCATTGCGGCTCTTGAAGGCGGTGTAGGTGCTCTGGCCACGTCGTCGGGCCAGGCTGCTCAATTCGTAGTTGCTGCTAATCTATGTGAAGCTGGATCCAACATTGTCAGCACCAGCTATCTCTACGGCGGCACTTACAATCAATTCAAAGTCGCATTCCCACGCCTCGGCATTGATG